AGCTGGAGGCTGGTATTATCTGATGAAGGTTTTTACATCAGCCCATATTCTAGATGTGACTAAATCGTGTCTGGACAGTTTCATTTCCACCTGTGCAGAGCAGGCCAGGCAAGCGCTTGGTGGGTCATCACCCAGCTGTCTCCTGGAAGCTCCTGGAAGGCATGTCATGCTCCAGGGCCCCTGCTTGGTGCCTTCCTGCACGTTTGGCGTGTCCTGTGGGCTGTGACTGTGGCCTACACAGGCCGGAGCAGGGATGGACACTGCATGGTCATGACTATAATGTGCCTGGCTCGCTGGTCTCCTGGAGTTTGCGAGAAGATGGGGAAAGGCAGTCGCTGGCCCAGGGCAGGCTCTGGAGACACACAGGGAGGAGGAGCCTTGAGCAGAAGACACGAAGCTGATGGGTGCAGCAGGTCAAGCCCAGGTGCTGGTGCTGCTCTTGGGGTGCAGCACACCAGGAGGGGGGTGGCACCAGGCCCTTTTCTAGACCCCAGGCCGGCCACTTTCAACATGACCTGGCACTAAGGTCGCCAACCCATTGCTTGTCCCCAGGGGCCAGGGCTGTGGCGCCACCTTGGACAGTGTCCCGGGTAGCTATGGAGAGGTGGGCCAGGGATGCAGACAAGGGAAGCATGACGGGTGGGCGGTTGAGGTCTGAAAAGTTGGAGAGTATGTCTTAGAATTTATGATAATTCACTGCTTTTCAAATTTTGATTGTGTAAGTAGATTTCCACGAAACAAGGGCTGGTGTGAGGACAGTTGTCCACATGTTGCAATTTTAACTTTGCAGGTTTTTTGTTGCTCATGGTCCCCTTCCCCCACTTAAGTAACTGTGCTGCAGACAGGGGAGGAGTGAGCAGAGGCCGTCAAGACACGCACCGTTTCCAGCTAGATCCATTCGACCAAGGCTTCCCTCAGAGTCAATCTTTTCCTTTCCCTTGTGTGCTTGTAACATCCTGACCAGGAAGACATTTCCCCCCCTCACCCCTTGTGTGCCTCGTCCCCCCGCATCCTCAGAGCCCTCGCCGCGCTTGTGTTTGCTGTTGACGTAAGCCTTTGAGTTTGTCAAGCCCTCCGCTGTGTGAATGTCCAGTATTTGCTTTGTCATTCTGACTTGCTTTCCTACACCTAATTCCCTCAGATGCCCTCCAGCTTGCTGCAAACGCTGCATTTCATCTCTCCTACGGCCGAGTGGTGTCCTGCGTGTGGACAGACCACCTCTGCGTGATCCACTCGTCCTCTGTGGCCATCTCGGCTGCTTCCACGTCCCAGTTACTGTGAACAGAACTTCAGTGAACATAGCAGCGCATATAATTTTTTGAGTTGATGGTTTCACCTGCTTTGGGTAAATGCTCAGGGGAAGAGCTGCTGGGTGTGTGGTGTTTCCTTTTTCAGTTTTTAAGGTAAATCCAGATCCTGTTGTCTTGGCTGCACCAGTCTACACCCCCACCGAGGCCCCTCCGTGCCCCCCTCGCCAGCACTTCATGCCAGGGTCTTTTTACACGTGCCTGTCTTACAACAGGAAAGGGGTGCGCACTTTCTCTACCGCCATTTGCAAATAATAGAACAAAGAACATGCTGATCTTTTTAAAAATGTTCACACTTCTTAAAAAAAAAAACCTATTTTAAAGAAGCATTTGGGTCAGCTAATTTAGGCACACAAATACGACGCTCAGGGCGAACGGGGAATGAACCAGCCTGAACTGTCCATCGCTAGGAGCTGCCATACAAGGTCTGGTCTAGAACGTGGTTACTTTTGAGCCAGGATTGCCCTTCGATGCGCCCTGTTTCTAGGGCCTGCGCTTCAGCCTCCCAGAAGATCAACCTGTCACATTTGAAAAATCTCCTGTCTGCTTTTTTCATCCTTTTGCAGCTTCCCTATCATGTATCTGAATGTGTAGGTTAAGATAAAGTTACCTTAAAAGGAAAGCAAGAGGTTTACTTTCATTAAAAAACTACTTGTAAAGTTTGCTTTCATAAAAAAAAACCAAACTATTTGTAAAGTTGATAAACAACTTTATACCACAGAACGTGTCACACACACTCAGGACCTACCTACATCACCCAGCAGCCTGCTCCGGGTCCGCTGTCACTTGGCCTCGTCCTGCGTGTCTGTCTGTCCCCTCTGCATGAGGACACCGCCCGCCTTCACGGCCTCGTCTCGGCTTGCCGGCATCCTCAGAGCCCTACTTCACGTGCACAGGTACTAGACTAGGGCTTCCGCGTAGCCTTTTAGGGGAACAGTTCAACCTGTAACCAGCCCTTTAGAACTGGGCTTTGGGTTATTAGGCCTGTTATCAAGTTCCAAAGTCCTGAAATTCGGGGTGGCAGGACCTGGGCCAAGACAACCTTTCCATACTCATAAAGGCCGCCTTGTGATACTGTGTGAGGGTTAAAAAAAAAGAAAGCGTGAAGTGCTGGGCAGGGTGCTGGCAGGAAAAAGCCTTCCCAGGGTGCTGGCAGGAAAAAGCCTTCGAGACTGCAGCTTCTCCTCATCTTCCTTTACATTGTTCCCTGCGCTGGTTCAATTACAAAACAGACCTCATCAAGGTGAGATCTCAGGCAGCCTCCCGGGGAAGGTGGATCCAGCAAAAGCCTGAAGACCCCCTGACGTTGTCCCACCTTACTACTCTACCTCCGACCCCGTGCCAGCTCCAGCAAGGGCACAGACGCCCCAGCCCCAGGACAGCGCCTGGCAGGTGTTCAGCTCGCAATGTAACAGCCGTTAAATATGTGAGTTGATGCTGATGCCAGGGTGGTTCTAAATAATGCCTTTTGTTGCCGTCTGAAAAGTAACAGGGACGAAGTAGGCCTGGGCAGCACCCGAGCGTCCTCATTCCCGGCTGGCTTACCGGAAACTTCACTTTCAATTAGGATTCATCCCCACGGCTGTTCCTGATTTTTTTTGGTGGAAGTTTCTGGAAGTTGTTTCAGCTGGCCAAAAAAAAAAAAAGACAAGGGGCAGAAAAATGCGAGTGGAAGCTCTAAAAATATGGACTATGGGCTTGAGGCGGTCAGGAGCGAAGGCTCCTTCCGTGGAGGGGTGAGGGGCTGCCACACCAGGGCCTGTGGTCTCCCACCCCCAGCTCCTCACTGCTGCCTTTTCCCCTCCTGAGCAGGTGCCAGTATCCTTGTCTCCACGCCCCCCCTCCACGTGACCTGTGGTGCTGCCTCTCCTGACCGCGCACCACGGGTGCGTGCCGTGAGGCAGGCTTCGCAGGAGGGGGACACACGCTGCAGCCGGGGCTCTCAGGGCTTCCACACGCCTGCTTGCAGGGGCTGGGCTGGCCTGGGCGCAGGCACCAGGCAGAGGGTCTGCAGAACTGGCTACCTGGTGTGTTTTCAGACCCCTAAGGGGAGGAGTCCCACATGCTGAGAGCCAAGCGATGGCTCCCTGGCCCTTGTGCAGGGACAGCTAAGGGTGGATTTCAAGGCAGTGTGTTTGGTCCAAAAACCTAAGATGAACCCGTGGTGGCACAGGGGTTAAAGTCTCGCGCTATCAAGCTATCTCCAGCATGACTTCGATCCTGGCCAGGGAGCTACCCACAGGGCGCAGCAGACCTCTCCTGTCTCCTCGCTGCTCCCCTCAGCAGTGAATTTCAGTAGAGCCGCCTGTTCTGCTCCCCACTCTGTCTCTGGTGAGTCCTCTTACCCCCCCACCTCTGGCCTGCACCCCAATTCTTGTATGCATGAACATATAAAAATAAATCTAAAAATAAGTAAGATGAATGTCGAGTCTCTGGAATCAAGAGGGCTTTAGGGGTTTCACGGGCAGGGGTCTGAGGCAGGTGATGTGAGTAGACCTACAACTGTGCCAGCTTTGCAGGGATTTTATCTGAACCATTCTGGAGCCCGTTCTTAACTGCTCTATGAAAATAACCGAGTTAAAATGTACTTTCCAAGGCTTTCCCAACGGGCAGTACTACTAGGCAAAGCAAAATTCCCTTTTCGGGGGAGATGCCTTGGAAGGAAACAGATGAGGACACTATGCACCTGCGAGGCTCACCTGTGGGTTTCCCCGTCGTGCCCCTTCCGGGTGCGGAGGACAGGGGTTCCCTGGGGAACAAGAAGTGGCTCCAAAGCGCCCAAGGTTCCCGTGGCTCCAGGCGGGTTCCTGGCCACAGCCCTGCGTGCACCTGTGCTACACACCCTGGCGGGGCCGCCCCGCGCTGGCGGGTCCTGCAGCGTCCCTGGCAGCCACCCGGTCACGGCGGGATGTCCCCAGATAGCACCAAGTCTTCTGAGGGCACAATATCTCCACGTTGCCACATGGTCCCCCGTGGAGAACCAGGGAACGAACAGGACGTGTGTCTAACAAGACTCACTCCTTAGAGATCCGTCTAGAAACCAGAACGGACGCCCCACTTCTAGAAGAGAAACAGTGGGTCTGATCTACCCCTGCTTCCTTGTTTCTCACTCGTGTGTTCACACAACCCCTTGAGATGCTCTAAGCTGTCCTTGGGGTGAGGGCCAGAGTCCCTGCTGGGGACACACAGTGCGCCCCGAGCACAGCCCTCAGGCCCCACAGCCTCACAGCGGGAAGACAGCATGAACCTGAGGCTGGCCCAGCATGTCCCCGGAAGGCACGGAGTCGGGGCGCTCTACTGCGCCCGTCCTGTGATCTGCGGGAACAGCGCCAGCTCCGAGGGAGACGCGGGGAAGCGGCCCTCAGCCCCGCACGGCCACGCACAGCGCACGCACAGGCGGCTGCAAACAGGGGTTCTGGGCAGGCATAGAGTTCAAAGGCCTGCAGTCCCTTGGGAGGCCTGTCCAGGCCTGTGTGTGCCTGGTGGGAGGGGAAAGGCAAGTTCATTTCTTCATAAGAGGACCCTCCACCTGCTGGTGAAGACACACGGGGAGTCGTACAGTGTGTGGTCTGTGCACACGCGTGCGCGCCCCGCAGCAAGGGGCAGAGTCAGGAGTCTCAGCCTCTGCTGCTGGAGCGGCCTTGGGGCACCCCCTTCTCCCAAGGAGCACCTTTGGCCTCGGCCCGACCACCGTCGCGTCCCCGGGGAGAGTGGACGCAGGCTCCTCAGCTCGGAAGTGGAGCGGGTGCGACTGTACCACCAGAAAACCGCGCGGCCCAGGGCAACTGAACGTCCTGTCGAGTAACGGAGAGGTGGAGCTCGTGAGTGAAACTGTGCAGGTTTTCCTGGCGATGGCCGCAAGGCCACGAGAACTCATGTTTCCCGGGGCGAACATCTCAGCGGGAAACCGCAGGCGGGTTTGGTGACCAGGCGCTGGACACACGGTCTGCTCAAGAATTTTTTTTTAACAAAATGGTAGATACTAAGGTTTATTTTAATTTTTCAATTTGCCAAAAAAACCCCAAAAACCCAAAACAGCAAAACAAAAACCCAAACGACCAGAAAAACCAAACCACACTCTGGTATATACAGCGTCAACGTCTCTGAGCGCTGGCCCCGGGCCGCCCCTCCTCCGCCCCCAGAAAACACTGCGGTGCCACCGCATGAGCCACTCACGCAGCCGCACGGGCGTCGCGATTTCCGTCTCTGTACCCGAGAGAGCCAGAGACGGCGGCCGCCACTGGGGGCCTTGGCGGCCGCGTCCCCCCGGAGGCGTCTCCGCGTGAGCTTTCGGCACGCCAGCTTTTCCGCCCTCACGGTGGCTATTTCAGAGCTCCTAGCCTTCGCAGGTCCAAATTTAAATAATGAGAGATCTGCCGTTTAAAAATAACCACCAATGGTTTATTCATGGGTCTGGAGCAGCCTAACCCACGAGAAGATGTGTAAAAAACTGCACGAAAGTAAAAATAAATAAAGCTGTTGGAAAGCAGTTTTGTTTACACTCGCGTTCAGAACGGAACACTTAACACAGAACAGCCATCAAAGGTTCAGAGTAATTATTTATAGTCAAGTGACGACTTTTGGACAAATCTTATGGGAACAAGCTGACTGGCGAAGGTCGGGGCCTCCCCGGCCGCACCGTCCACCCCGGGCGGCGCCGGTGGCCGCGCAGCGCCGGGTGCAGCGCTGTGTTCCGACATAAGGCACTAGGTCTGAACATGCCACACGCTCACCTTATGTCCTAGGACCTGTCACACACCAGTGGGTTCTTAGAAATGAAAAATGATAGAAGTTTCAGAACACAGTGCACTTGGACGACAGACAGCATTTGAAACTCTTCGAAGGTCAGGCAACCGCCTCTCCGCGCAAGCTCGACCCTCCAGATACACGGAAGTCTTGCTCTGAGTTTCCACATCACTGGAAAAAACACCCCTCACTGAACCCCGACATACGTCCTCAGCCACCTCCCCTCTCTCTCCTCTCGCGGTCCGTGGGAGGCAAAGCGTGACCCAGAGTCCCAGTTCAAGTTCCAGGAGGCGTCTCCCTGCACCGTGTCATTCGGCTTCTGGCTGCTGCTGCTTGGCACCTGTCGGCAGATGGAAAGGGGGATCTCAGCGCAGACACGCGCCGCTGTGTGCGTCCCACCTGGTGGCGGCGGCGGCGGGCTCCAGGCCGGGGGCGCCCAGCTCCCCAACCTCCCAGCTACCACGGCAACCCGCTTTTAACCCCCACCGCACGCGGAAACTCTAAAGAGGCAGGATTGAATTTGGAAAAGGGTTCTATGCCCCAGTATTTACTGTTTCAACAGATTTTTTTTGCAATTAAATTGTATTTGTGATTGAATATTCAAGGAAGTCTTTCTAGTCTAGAAAATGACCCCACATGTGAAAATGTGTTCAAGAACTACGTTTACTTTCATGAAGGCGCAAAATGTTTCTGTTGCACCGACTGACAAAAATGTCGAAGATCAAAGGCTCCTAACAGCTCCTAACGTCCTAACTGCAGCCACTCCAGCTCCTCCGAGGGGCTGACAGGGCGAGACAGCGAGGTTCTCAGTCCAGCAGCTTCTAGCCGCTTTTCTCACTGGACACAAGAAGGCACTTTTGAAACAGATTAATGATCTATAAAGGGGCTAAAAATGCGAGCTCCTGCCGTGAGGCTGCTACTTGCCGGCTGTGTGAGTAGGTGCTGAGGCCTGTTTGATGGCTCTGAGTTTGACAGCAAAATGCCAAACGCGTTTTGGAAGAGAACATGTACTGAGTGGGTGTCCGTGCTGGGCGAGGGTGTCCGTCATCCGGTGGGAAGGGTAACTGCCAGCACCTTTTATGCACTAAGAGCAGCCACTTCTTAAAAGGGCTTCTTACCGGCCCTTCCCTCAACATCCACCCAGCGGGGCGTGTCCCGCGTCACCGTGGCCTTCTCAGCACAAACTGCCTTCCCGGTTTTGTTTCATCCCCAAGATTCCCTGGAGGGATCGGGTGCCTGGGTAGCCTGCTCGCGCCGTGGCTGATGGGGTGGCGGCTACACGAGGTGAGCACCTCCTCGAAGACAGTGGCCTGTGGGCTGGCAGGGCCGGGCAGCCAGGCTGGCTCCTGGTTGCTGCATGCGCCATGCTGTGTCCCTGCGGGCAGGAAGCCCAGCAGCTGGTCTGGGCAGCCAGCCCCTGTGTCCCACGAGCGCTCCAGATGCCCACTTACAACCCAGTTACTGGGACACAGAACCTCTTCCTAAATCAGCAGCGTGACGGTGCTCGAATAAGGAATTCTAATTCAGCTACCCTGTCGTCAGCGCCATTTCTATGGTAACAGACATTTCAGATTCCAGCTGCAGAATACATTTCCTCCTGAAGAGGGGCATTAACGACTTAAGAGTCTTTGAAATATCAAATCTGGATGGAGGCGTAAGCTCACCCAGGCAATAATTCAGTCATTCGGAGTGTGCAATGTCTCTTGGCCCGAGGGACAGCAGAGCCGTGAGGTTCAGGCCGACGCTTGGGGAAATGGTGTGCCCTGGCAGGGGCGGTGCCTGTGGGGTTGAGTCTGTCCCTAGCGTGAGGAAGGGGCTGTGCGATCTTACGTAGGTGTGATCACACTGTCTGGACTGGGTCAGCCCGCGTCCAGGAGATGCGTCCACTGCTGTAATGGCCGAGTTCTGTGTCAGCGTGTAGTGTCCACTGGAGGGACATCCTATCACCAATGCAGCCTCTGCTTGGACATCTGGCTTCTTTCCAGTATTAGGTTATTACAAGCAACGCTGCAACCACCTCACTGAACCAGCATTTCACAGTTATGAAGACAGGTGAGATTCAGGTCCTCTAACACCTGCGATTTCAGACTCCCGCCCGCCCTCTGGGGGCCTGACGCCGCTGGCGTGGAGCGCGCCCGCTCGCGCACACGGACCCCCGTGTCACGTCCTCCTGTCCTGGGAGTCTGTCCCTCACCAGGGCCAGTGCTTCTCCAAGGGTGCAGGGGAGCTCATTAGGATGCATGTTTTCAGGGTATAGACCAAGCATAAAAACCCGTTAGCGAGTCTGATTTCTGAACTAAAGAACAACCCACACCGTGGTACAGACACTCTCCAGCGGTGACCTTGTGCATTCCAAGCGCGCGTCACTCAGCTGCCCGTCTGCTGTCTCGGTCTTCCAGCCTGGGGGTGGCCAGCTGGCGCATTAGGGCCCTTGGCCCACCTCTCACTCCAACTCTGGGGTACTAGAGACACCAAGGCCTCTTTCCTGAACGCCGCCCTCTGCCCCGCACCCTCCCACTGCCTGAGACCCCAGAGCTCGCAGAGCCAATCAGGCAGAAGGTGGGTTCAGCGACCCCCCACACTGTGGTCCTCAGCATCATTTCCACACAACAGGCAGAGAAAAAGCTGCACTGCGGGGGATTTAGTTTTATAGACTCACAACACCAGGAAAGGTTTTTAAAGGAGAGATGTTTCGATAGGACCCCGGGGTGTCCCTCCTGTTCCTGGTTTGGAGCCCTCAGAGGGGATGAGAGCTTAGCTGTTTACGGGAAACGTCAGGAGAGACATGGCAATGGGCCCCTCGCCTTAGAACACTGTCTACAAACTTTTCTCTCTCACCCAAGAACCATGAAACTTCAGAACCGCAAATGGAGGCTCACAAAGGAGTGGACACAGAGCCTCCATCTGCAGGCTGGTGGGGAGCGACACGCCGCCTGTGCCGAGTCCTGTGCTTCCCAGACGGCCGGCGAGGCCGCGGGGGCATACCTGCGGGTGTGAGAATCAGGGCTTGCAGGATGTCCGACAGCGAGATAATCCCCACGATACTGTCTGCTTCGTTCACCACCACCAGCCGATGGACCTGGGCGGGAGGAGGCAGGGCCCGGAAGTCAGCTCAAGCTGCCTTTTCAAATGGATATTTAAGCAAGGCTTTCTCCTGCGATGTGATGGGTGCACCCCACATGCGAGGGCAGCTACAGACCCGCATGGAGATGTCGGGTTTAAAGCTAAAAAGTCACACAGATTTGCTCGACAACCTTTAAGAAAAACAAGCCAGTTACGTCCTGCTGAGTCCTCAAATTTCAAAATAATACGACAGATACGGCCTGACCAGGAAGTACCATGGAGCTGAGATGGGCTTTAGGCATAGAGGTTTAATGCTTTTCTTAAGAACTATCAGACACGGCGGGGGCCTCTCTGGTGGAGCAGGTGTAGCGTGTCATCACTATGAGGCAATCTGCAGCCCCTGCAGCATGAGTTCCATCCCCGGCCAGGGAGTTACCCACAGGGCACAGCAGACCTCTCCTGTCTCCCCACTGCTCCCCTCAGCAGTGGAGTAGATCTGCCTGTTCTGCTCCCCACTCTGTCTCTGTTGAATCCTCTTATGCCCTACACCTCTGGCCTGCACCCCAGCTCTTGTATGCATAAATAAATAGATCTTCTTAAAAAAAGGAACTATCAGACACCATTCCAGGAAGAGAGGAAGCCAATGGGCACTAGACAAGACCCTGGGTCACTGCTCAGACTGTTTCATTTTAACCCTGTCTTTCTCCTCGGAGGCTCCTACAGCAAGGACAGTATTCAGCAGATAAACTACACTAAAGTGAAGCAGGTTATATTCGCGCCTCACTTTCTACGCAGAAATCTTTCAGAGCGAAGGGATGGTGTCACGGGCTGTTCTGAGCTGGCGGCAGACAGGGAAGGGGCCAGAGGCACAAAGCTTCCCAGACTCAGGGGCTCCAGAAGGCGCCCATGCCGCGTGCCAGCCGGTTACCCCGGAGACCCTCTCCCGGCCCAGCGGAGGGGGCAGAGCGGAAGGCGAGGGAGGGGGATTCTGGGCTCACACTTTGTCTCGGGTGATGACGCCGGTGATGCTTTTAAAGAAATATCTTCTGCACCGCTGAGGCGCCAAGGGAAACCCTCTCACCCAGAGAATGAATTCCACCCAAAAAAGGACAACCAGAAAGATGCTCTTGTGGCCGGCGGCTGAGGCTAACTCATGAGTGTTCCTTTCTGAGCATCCGAAAACCGGCGCTTTACTTATGCCCCGTAAAAGCCCGACTAAGCGCCCACGCTCGGGGGGGGGGGGGACGGCGGGCGGGGGCCCTCCTAAAAACTAGGTTGAAGCCAAAGATGCTCTTTGTCCCGCAGGGACGAGGAGTCACCTGATGAAAGAAGCTGTTTTAATAAGGAAAAAAGTCAAGAGGGGAACCGAGGGGACGGTCGGTCCACCTTCGCTGTCTGCAGGTTGTGACCTCTGTAAAGGATTCCGCAGGCGGGTGCCCCCGTCCTTGTCACTCCTCAGGGGCGGGTTCCCAACTATTTTGCTTTTGACCTTGAACGGCTCGCGGTTCTAAGGGCATGAGTAAAAGGTTAAGACGTATTTCCAGGGCAGTTAAAACTCTTTGGAGACAACTGGTGACGGATGTTAACCGCAAGTAAAAAAATGAAGTCTTTACCTTGAGTCTTTACGTGTGAGACAAGACACCAGCCAGGGCAGGGGAAGCCAGGGGAGCTCAGGGACAAGGACAGTTAAAGAGCAGGGCTGGGGCGGGGGCGGGGCTCCCGTATATGAAACGGGTGCCATGCCTGACAGCACCCTAGTAACTACCGGGAAAAAGCATGTTAAAGTTGCAGTTATTAAAACCCTAAAAAATAGGTGCTCTTGGACTATACTCTTGCATTTCTAAGAAAAACCATCAAAGCAGATTTATCATTATGCACTTATTCTGCCTAGTTAGGGATTGTTCCAGAAAGAACAGAACTGCATCTTTGATTCTTAAGGAGTGACACACAGGGGGCCTCCCCTGGTGGTGCAGCGGTTGAGCGCTGGGCTGTGAAGCTGCCCGCAGCCTCTGCAATGCCGGTTCGATCCCCGGCCACCAGGGGAGGGTCCCACATGGTGCGCAGACCTCTCCTGCCGCACCCGCTGCTCCCCTCAGCAGTGTACTTCGGTCCTTCTGCCCGCTCTGCTCTCCACTCTGACGCTGGTGAATTCTCTCACCCTCCCGCGCTTCTGACTGTACCTAGTGCTTGTATAAATAAATAAATAAATAAATAAATGTTTAAAAAAAAGAGTGACACACAGGGAGATGTTCCTAATCCCAGCCAGCAGGAAAGCAAAAAAGGACCCTGGGCCCGCGCTGACCGAACTGGATACTCCCTAAAGAGCTCACTCATCTTTTATTTAGTGTCACGCGAAGTATTCTCGAAAACCCCATAGGCAGTAACGCGTAAGAGGGCCCTGTGGTGCTGAGCGTCGAGACTTGCTACCTACCTAAATATTGGGGTGGTGCAGTGAAGATCAGAATGAGTTCATTGATACAGCATTCACTTTGTTAAAACCATATACATAAATTCATAAATATTCTCATGGAACTTAAAGTTTGTGGAACTTTTGTTAAACTGTGGAAGCATCTTACCAGTTCATCTGATTCGACTACGAGGACTCACAAATTCAGTTTAACTGAAGGAGCTTTTTACAGCTGACCTTCTGTGTGCTGAGTGAGGCGTTAGCTGGGCAGGGCGGCCTCCCTGGGCACTGGGCTGCACTGGCTGTGTCAGGGCTGGGGGGAGACAGGAGGGTCAGGAGCACCTGTCCTCACCTCGGCCCTGACGATCCTGTCCACGATGGTCTCCAGGATCTCCAGCTTGCTGCACTTTACCACGCCCTCGAAATACTGGGAGCGGTGCTGCAGGGCCTGGGTCACCGTGATATCGAGGTTATTGTATGTTTTTTCAGCAGCAAGATTCTGTAACACAGTAACAGAATGAATGACAGCCTCTCAATTTACAGTGATTCCCAAATGAGCAAGTTTACAGCAACCCTGATTTTGAAGAACGTTTTAATTGATGTCGTGCACCAGCTTATTAACATGCCTGTAGTACTGTTATTCCATCATCCTATCAGTATTAATTAAAGATTACAAGGTGTACCTTAATTATGCAGTCACCTTGTTCAATCTTAACTGCCTGTTCTGCTGAAGACCCCCGGCTAAGCAGCCCTGGAGGGTCATATATGATATGAGCCTGGAATCCTCTGGCAAGAGCCTCAGACTCAAAAGGGCCAGGGATTATGAAACCAAATTAACGAACGGGTTTTCAATGCATTCTACACGATCCAATGAACAAAATGAAAAAATACTTACAATTACATCAAATTTGGAATAAATATCTACAACTTTTCCTGAAAATGAGCAAACACAGGGATTAGGAACATGACTTGGAAACAAAAAATAACACACAAAATCCATCCTAAGTGGGTAGTTACTAGGCATGAAATACTATTCACTAAGATTAACGTGTCTGTTTTCAAGTGGATGTGAAATCCCCTCTTAACAGAAAATACAACAATAGGCCAGTTTACGGTTCCCGCTGTCCCGAGCCCCGTGGCTGAAGCCCGTCTACACTGCTAACATCCATGACCCTCTGACTGACGAGGTGAACAGCTGCTCTGCGTGGTCGGCAGAACACTAGGACCTACCTGCCTCATCCACGACAGGCAAGGCAGACACCCGTCGCTCCACGAAGACGTTCAAGGCCTTGATGATGGGGGTGTCGGGGTGGATGAAGGCGATGTTGTGGTAGGTCCCGATTCCCAGCACGTCCAGGTTCTGCTTCATGAAGGCGGGCTTTGGCATGTCGGACATCTGCGGGGGGGGGGGGGGCCGAAACAGAAGGCTCTGGAGCAGCGAATCCTCCTGGACGTCCACATGTGCGGGCTCGAACGAAGACCACGTCCAACAAGCTAAAGCTAGTCCTCCCTAACTCTGCCAGGACATCGGGATTACCAGGAGACCGTCACATACAAGGACCGTCTCTTTTGTTCAGTTTATATTCCAGGCTCACGTTCAACTACTTCGTAAAACATTACCACGCACTGATGCGGGGCCCTCCCTGCTTCTCCTCACCCAACCGAGAAAGGGGTTGGAAGGCTGACCAAGTCTTAATCAAGGACCTCTCTGGCCCCGTCATCCTCAGATGGCGTTTACTCAGAACCTGCATTCTCAGCCCTGGAGCACGGAGGGGGCCGGCTGAGTGGCCCCTGAGTGTACTCCCCACACCGGACACCCTGAATTCTCCTTAGGACACGCCACTGTTTCTGTCTACTAGGAACAAAGAACAAGGCAACTGGACAGAATTAAAAGAATCTCTAGAAAGTAACTTTCTTCTCCTGGGCTGTTTCAGAGGAGGAGGGAGAAAGCAGAAGCGAGGTGCCTAGGATCGTGGGCGACACTAACAAGGTGAGGCCTACGGTTTCAGACGTCCACCTTTTACAGAGGGTGCGGTGGATTTCATCCTCCTGGTGTACCTTATACTTATCAGGAAAAGATGAACAATTAGAAGAAACAAAATGTTCAAGTCAAAGAGAGCTCATCAATATTCAAATCATGAGAACCCTAGAAATGTAGAGAAAGAAGAGACACCTATTAGGTCGCCTGCCCAGCCTGAAGCAGCGTCACCCTGTCCTGGGACGAGAGACTGCAGGTCGCCAGGGGCTATGCTGCTGCATCTCAGAAGATGGCAACTTGGGGAAAACCAGGTTCTGAAATTTCTCTAAGATTCTAGGTTTTGATCTGAAAAGCTCTAGCAGAATGTTCCAGTAGCATGATTTTTTTTTTTTTAGATTTTAAACAGATGTGTATTAAAATCATATTTAAGATTTTATTTATTTAATTTATTTTTTTAAATAATAAATTTTATTTTTTATATTCCCCATACAATTGCAACCCCCCCATTCTGATCCCAATCCCTCCCCTCCCGCCCTCCACCCCCCAAAAAGTGTCTCTGGTTCATAGTTTTTTGTTGATTTTGATTTTCACTTTCTTATAGTTATTCATTCTTATTACCAATTGGCCCAAATCTGTGGCAGCACTGGCAGAGGCAACTCCTCTACCTTCTACAGAAAACAGTGAGGCCTGTCTCCCAGCTGCGCTGCTCTCCTGGGGGCCTGGGCTTGACCTCTGCAGTGAGTGCTGACTCCTGTGCCTCGGGTCGGGGTGTCTGTAGGGCTGCTGCGGGTGGAAGGAGGGGCGTGGTCGCTGGCCCTGGGCCAGCAGTGCTTGGCCTCACCATCTCACAGCTGCAGCCAATACACCGGGATTCACAAGGACCTGGTGGTGGATGTCCCCAGGGGTGACCACACAAGGTGCTCAGGACATGACGCAGCCTCCAGGGGACGTGAGGCCGCACTCTCAGGGGAGAGTGGGCTGGAGCCAGCACCTCAGGCCCTCCCGGAGCCCTGGCTCTACTCATCCCCAGACTGACCCCTGCCCAGACATCCCTGCCCCACCTCCCACCTCATACTTTTTTGTAAATCGCTTTCCTCCTCACTCCCTTCTTTCTCCAAAACACCAACAGGCTTATTTTTGCAAGTGAGCTACACGCAGAGGGACGGCCCCCACCCCCACTCTAGAAGGAGTGTATCTCCCTGTCTGAGGCTGTGGACAAGGAAGTTCACATTCAAAGTTGAGTTTTAATGTCTATTAAGTTCTTTCAATAAATGACTTCGCATGATGGCACTGAAGCATGAAGGAAGCTCCGAGCGGTGACTAATTGCTCAAAACCTCCAATTTAGTGGGAGTAACGAGGAGGAGGACACAAGGCCCTCTTGTACACACCCCGAGACTCGAGACACTCTGGAGGCTCCAGGCCTGCACCCCAAGACGCCATCTCAGGGCAGAGGAGCTGACAAAACCTATAGACAGATCACATCGCCCTAATGTGGACCAACATGGTATTCTCTTGCTAAAATTTTTATTTTCTCTGGGTTTTTCTATCACTGCTGCCATGAATAAGAAGACAATCCAGGGGCATATCTTCTGCGTATGTTTCCAAACCCAAGACACCCATAAAACATCAACAGGCCATTTGCTACAAGTATCGGCTCAATTTATCTTGTAGAACAAGTCCTTAGAATGCAAATGGCTTTCGCTCTCCTCTTAGATAGGTGATAAAACATTCTAATTACTTGCTCCAAAGGTGACTGCTTGCTCACTGGAATCAACTTCGAGGTTGTACAATTCAAAGAGCAGCGAGTGAGAGACTGAGGTTTAGAGACAGAGACCCCACGAGGACAGTTCACTCCCGATGGCCACAGGGGCCAAGCCACTTGAAGTAAGTTAGTTAAAACAGATGCAACCATGTCTTTAGAAACACTAAAAACTACTTACAAAAAGCTGGAGGAACTTGAGGATTCTTTTGTGGGTAAGTATATAAAGTGCATTCCCACTGAGAGGGTCAATAACTGGCAATCTGTGGATTTTATTTTTGATCAACGAGTACACAGCATCGAAGAGGCTGCGGGGAAAGCCACACAGGCGTTAGGAGGCTTTGAGAGAAAGAAGGAAGCTCTGGGCCACCCCAGCTGCACAGCTTTCTCAGTGCTGTTTTATACAAGAACAGGCTGCTTGACTTAAAACCGTGTTTTGGAAAAATTTTAAATTGGAGAGCTCAGCAAACTGGTTGATTTTTCACCATCTGTGTTAAGAAATCTCAAACACAGGGTGAGCCCTGCCGCACCAGGAGAACAGTGCTTCCCATGATGATAACTGATAATGATGATAACTGATAACGTGTTTACCTGATTTCACTGGAGGAGTGACAGACACCCCCTATGAAGCTGCCAGACCTGGGAAAGCCTCACTAGCCAGAGGCCAGAGCTGGGCCGGCCCCCTGGACTGCCCTGGACAGTACCACCAGGGCCTCTGTGGGCAGCCTTCCTACCCCCACCCTGCTGCATGAAGGTGGTGTGGGTGTGTCTGTCTGCACTTGGTTATAAAATGATAAAAGCCAACATCCCACTTTTTCTTGCTTGTGCTTTGGAGTTTTAGGAAGCCTTTGGGATGGGCATGGAAGCGTGTCAGGGCCGCCCCAGTAAGCCTGGATCCAAACGTGAAGGCCGCAGACTGGAGGGACTGCTGTGCAGACCTTAGGACCCAAGGCAGGGCTTGGTCCCCCGGGGGGGACTGTTAAGGTACAGTCCTGAGTGCTGCCCTCCAAAGGCTGGGGCAGAGCCCCAGGGCCTGCAGTACTAACAGGCTGCCCAGGTTGCTTCTGCTGCAGGTGATGTGGATTTTAAAACTGCTCAGGATGACCAACTTCCTAGGCAGTTATCACGGCCCTGGACCCATCTAAGTTGATGAACTTGATATCTGGAATTAAGGAGGTTGGTTTTATCTAGATCAAAAAAAACTACCTATCATGGTAACAAAACAGATGAATCTGAATGGATGTTTTCCAAGGAGAAAAACTTTACAAATTACCTTGCATCTGGAGATATATTCACTAAAGGCTTAAATGTTTCTTGTAAATAAAGCTCTGTATTTACAAAAAAAAAAAATACGCAATTAGTAACACATTTGTTATTTGCAATTTTTACATAGATTAAAATACCCTTCAATTTATAGTTACTAATTAAAAAGATTAAAAATCCAAATCAAATTAATTTACTGAAAACTATTGTGTTGTTATAGCTATGGCTATTTTAAACAACTTCCAAACTGTCCCCAGGATGCTGCCTTTGTAGAAAACGTAAACATTTAAAAACAACATTATCAGAGATGTAAAAATCTGAAGTCAAGGCATCTGACAGAAGACTGATACCAGCAGAGGTCACTAGTAACTACCGAGAGACTATCATCTTCGAGCAAGGAAACACTGACGAAATCCTTTAAATTAATTTTAAAGTTAAAACTAAGTTAAAAGATAGCACAATAGTTACAACAAACATTGCTATTTGATGTCCTTAAGTTTTATTTTACTAAACTAAGGCTCAAAATCTGTATCTTTGGCATCTTTCTAGTATACAGAAATGACTTTTGTAAAGATCAACTGTAATTAATTTTCTTTACTGAGGTTCTTATACAATGAATGAAATGTATGGATCAAACAAACAAAAAACCTCAAAGCATTCATGAGTATCTCAACATTATCATCATTACTGCCGAATGTCAAAATGTGAATTTGTTCTGCCCCTGGTCTAAGGTTACCTGTCTATCTAGTGGAGTTTGACAAGGAGCATCCTTCCTGGTGTTTTAGTGGGGGCTCGTCTGTCATGGGCAGTGCTGGGATTCAGGTCTCATGTTGACTGACTTTGCTTAATTTGATTTGATAGCGTCATCATAAGTCACTATGTCACATCATGCAACTTTTGGATCCTATAAAATTATAGGAGTCTCTACCCTATGGATGTTCAGACTCCACAGCCAGCCACAGGCCGCTGATCATGACAAGACTATGGGGAGGACAAAGGTAGATTTTAATTCTAAATTCCAAATTTCCTCCAGTTGGCCCTGCCATTCTGACTCCCCTCCCCCAACTCCCGAAAAAGGGCTCCCTCCTGGTTTCCAGCCAGGTGAGCCCTTTTAATACTGGGCCCAGGCTGCAGCTGGGCTCTCCCTCTGACATCTGTGCCGCCTGCACCAGCCCCACGGGATGGTTTTCCCGAGGACAGGGCAACTTGACAATCATGAAATCAGAATTTAAGAAATGGCTCCATTTTGAGAAAGGATAATTATAAATGACAAGGGTGTTAAGATTAGATGAATAATATGTCAATATTTTAAACAGAAGGAAGCAATCTTGAAGTTACTTGATCCAAAGCATCTAGTTGAAGGTTCACATGTTCTGTTTCTCCGTGATTTGTAAAAAATAATTATTAAATTTAAATAAGAACAGATCCTTGCTTTTATTAATTTTAGGCATTCCCTTGGTGTATTTTCTGTACTAAGGCAATTTTGGGGAGTTAATGCTTAGTGTTACCCTGGGGGGCTGATACAGGCACTGGCAGCTCATTCATCTTTGCATTCTCAGCCTTAGTACATGACTGGTATAGGCTCCCTGTAAGCATCGATTACAAACAATGGACAGTATTTACAGCAGCATGGCATGTCATCGGAATTTAGATAGAAATAAACAGAATATTTTAATTATATGGTTCATTATTCAGCAGAGGGGAAAAAGGTCCGTGAAATTAAAACATTTTACACACTAAGTAGAACTTTTTTCCTGATACTAGAAGAGTTTTAACACCTAGTAGCAGCACTTACCCCTCCACGTTTCTATCTTATGTTCCTCTAATTCATAAATCTGTACCTGCAAATAGAAAAATTCCTATTTGCATATGTTAACATACACCACGTAAGAACATTGTTTCCTAACTACTGAGTCTCACAATTCAGCAGAGGGGTGCAATCACCATCGTGACTTGGAAATTCTGTAAACATAAATGAGGGAGGAAATGCACTGTCTGCAGTGGCTCACAAATTGAAAACATTACAGCAGCACAATAGTACATAGTTACTTCACATCTATAACCTGAGGATCTCTGAGGCTTAAATGTGAAACATACACCTGGACACACACTCGCTCCTCGAGGCTACAAAGGCCTTTCAGTGTCTCTAATTTTAAAACAGGTCTGGGGTAAGTTGTGTCCGAAAATTAAGGCGTTAGGTCAGTGGGGTGTGACCACAGTGGCCGTCTTGGCAGAGGTATCGGGTGAGGCCCCGGGAGGGAGGAATCTGGCGACAGTCCCAGAGGCCGCTGAACAGGGTGCAGATGTCAACGCCGACCTCACCACCAGCCGCTGCTCTTGCCAGTTACCAACACTCGGGCCTGGTTTAACACCCGATGTCACTGGGTGAAGGGCCCCCAGACTCAGCTCCTGTGAGGGGCCCACCTGATGGCGTAAGGCGAAGTATCCTCGTGCTCCCTGGGCGCCCTCCCACCCCTGCCTCTGCTTAGGCGCTCTTTATTTTGGGACTTCAGGGGGCACCCCAAAGCAGAGAACCTGGCCACCCCTTGAGGCTTAATATCTGCTGCCTGGCAACACAGACAGTCCTAGATGAAAACGTCACTGGCAGCAGAAGACAGACATGGACCAGGTCACACGCTTCTGAGAGGGTGAGTGACGAGGGGTGCAGAGAGAGTGGTGGGGAGCAGAGGCCGGGCAGGGGGAAGCCTAGGGGAGGATTCCAGCCAGGCCCTGCCGGAGCAGTGGGCTTGGCACAAACGGGGGCGGGGGGGGGGGGCAGAGAAACTGCCTTTAGAAACAACTTTTTTTTTTTTTAAAGATTTATTTTATTTTATTTATTTATTTACACAAGCACTGGGTACAGTCAGAAGCGCGGGAGGGTGAGAGAATTCACCAGAGCCAGAGCGGGGAGCAGAGCAGGCAGAAGGACCGAAGTACACTGCTGAGGGGAGCAGCGGGCGGCAGGAGAGGTCTGTGCGCCATGTGGGACCCTCCTCCCGTGGCCGGGGAGCAGCCGGGGATCGAGCCGGCGCTGCAGAGGCTGCGGGCAGCTTCGCAACCCAGCGCTCAACTGCTGCACCACTGGGGAGGCCCAGAAACAACTTCTAAGTGGGCCTCCCCGGTGGTGCAGCAGTTGAGTGCTGGGCTGCGAAGCTGTCCACAGCCTCTGCAGCACCGGTTCGATCCCCGGCCGTTGGTGAGGGTCCCACATGGTGTGCAGATCTCTCCTGCTGCCCGCTGCGCCCCTCAGCAGTGTACTTCGTCAGTCTGCCTGTTTTGCTCCCCACTCTGGTTCTGGTGAATTCTCGCACCCTCCTGCACTTCTGACTGTACCCAGTGCTTGTATAAATAAATAAATAAATAAATCTTAAAAAAAAAAAAAAAAGAAAGAAACAACATCTAAGAGAATGGGGGAAAGAGGCTAATAATCTCCAACAAGGCTCCTAGAGTCCAATTAACTACTGCTGAGATTTGTTAGATGGGGTGTGGCTACATTTTACCAAAATCCATCCATTTACGAATTGTTCTTGTGTTGATCTGCTAGTTGAAAACCAGAGATAGGACCGCTATGGGAAAACCGTGAGATCACTGGGGAGACTCAGGCTGTCCTTAGTGAACCTTCCTTCCAGGGTTTGTCTGTGAAGAAGCTTGTCTTCCCGTAGGAATTTACTTATTGGGCAGTATTGACCGTGACATGAAAAACCAGTGTTAACTGGACAATCTTTTCACCGTTCAGAGACCCACAACAGTATCAGGACAGAACCCCAGTGTGCTGGGATGCCCTTCTGCGCCCTTGCAAAAAACCCAAAACAAACAAAACCCCCGAGACAACAAAGCCCCAAACCAAACAAGCTGATATGAGCCACAGACTCACGGCGCTAGACAAAGGTCAAGTATGGCTTTCAAGTTATGCTCTTATGATCTCGCTGGGCCAGGGCCAGGGCCAGGGCTCTGCGTGAAAATAGCCAGTAGCAGCCAGCCCTTAATTGGCAGGAAAATGTCAAAATTGAATTTCTTCCATCTTAATTTCTACTTCATTAAGACCACAGGGAGCACATGGTTCTTGTTATAGAATTTTTTTTGGGGGGGGGGTGTGCATGAAGTTGCACCGAATCAACAGACCTGTGAGGCTACGCCCCCCGGGGGTCTCACCAGCTGCCCCTCGAACATAAAGATCCCATGCACAGTGGACCTGCAGGCCACAGAGGCCATAAATAAGGGTGTTCCAGTCCCGGGGATTTCTGAAAGCTGGATAAAGAAGCTACTGTCTTTCTTCTCAGGCTACCTTCTTCTGGGTTCAAATAAATGACGAATTTACACTGAAGTTCTGTGCATGTCATTTATACACATGTATGTGTGTATATGTGTGTGTGTATGTGTGTACATATACATATATATATGAAATAAGATTCAGAAGAATCAACCACCATAAGCAGCCCAGTTCTAAAAAAGAAAAACCACAAAAATCTTAAAATATACCCCACCTCCCCCACACAGGCACACAGCTCCAAGTGGAGGCACAGAGACTTACCATGGGTGATTTATAGTATCTATGTAGTATATTTATGAAATCTGTAATTGTTAGCATTCCTAGAATAAAGAATTACATGGTAAGTATCAAACTAAGAAAATGCAGGAGGAAAATTTCAAATGACAAGCAAACCTGGATATTTACTAGAAAAGCTTCTAAAATATACTTCAAAGATATCAAGCACCGTTTACTATAGTATTTAAAAATTTATTAATCTGTTTGTTGTCTACAGCGAACCGGATACACTGATGCAGCCTAAGTTAAACCTGAGAGTGTACAGTGGATTTAGTCATAGAATTTGGCGATTCCATGCAGAGAGCTTACTGAAGGTTACAAAGCATCACGGGAAGACCTGCAGCGAACACACCGGAATAAGACAAAGTATTCCATTTGCTCCAGAAACACGGCACTCCTGGGGGAGTGTCCTAAAAGCAACGCTTTCACCACCAGTGACTGACTGAGTGAGTGCCTACTGTGTGTCACTGAAGACACAATGGACGCCGCCAGGACTTCCCAGGTGAAAGAGATGGGACCCTTGTCCTGGAGGACACTGCATCCAGAGAGGGAGGCAAACTAGCCATTCCAACACAGCATGAAGCGTACCAAAAGAACAGCCACTGGGGACTATGTTTCTAAGACAAGGAATCACGGCGTCTAGCTGTTCTAGTACAGGACGTTTCCCAGAGTATGCCAACGAGCTAGTGAAGGCATCAGCGCATTTACATCACTTACTTCGCCCTGTCAAAAAGGTGTCAGCCCAGACAGCTGGGATAGCCCACGGGCCCACACTTGAGCCAAGGCAGCCGACAGGCGTCAGGCCCGGCCTCCTCTGCCCTGTTCCCTGGGCTCCCGGGATCTGGCAAAGGCATAGAAGACCCTTCAGAGCCAAGAAGGTGCTGAATCGAGAGGAACTCAATGAAAGTACAACTGTGTTTTGGGGTGAAGGTGGGATGTTTGACTGGGTGACATCTTTCCTAGGCTGACTTCCCAACCCAGCACCTGCTACAGTGCCTCAGGTGCCTGCAAAGCCCTGGACACAGCGCTTACCTAAAAACTTACCTACAAAACTCTGCTTTTTACTCTCCCACAGCGGCGCTGCTCGGACGCCATTGGCCACTAAGGCAAAGAAGGCCTTTTTAACCTGTGGGCAGAGAAGGATCATTCCTGTAAGGTCCATGTGTGAGGACGACAATATCTTCAGCAAAAGCACTGGACTGCATCTGTCAGTTACCTTCAATGTTAAGTTTTCTAAGTTTGAGAAGCTGGAAACAACTAAACTTACGAGTATCACAAAATGCTTCTGTATTACGGTGAAAGGCACCGGAAGAACTGGAGGTTACAATTTAAAACCGAAAACACGCAATTAGCTTCAATGTTTTCTTGCTGTCTCTAGACTCCTGTATTAATAGACTTTCTTTACAGAATTAAAACCATATAAAATAATTAAGCTTCAGAGTTTAATTTCCCCTGTATGTGGTGATTAATTCATCTACACACACTGGTTCCCTCAAATTACTTGAAGTGAAAATTTGTTTTTAGTACGTTCAACCACAACAAAACAAGCAGGCGCTCTCTTCCCTGAGGCCGAGAGAGAAGAGGTGAGAGAGACACGACACGTTTGTGCTTTTCTACCTGCTAGAGGCAAATGCCCACTGTCAGGGGCGGCACATTTGGGGCACTTTCACAGATGGCATCTCACTCAACCCCATGAGAAGCACCCCTGGGGTCCCCTGCCAGGTGCAGGGGGCAGCACACGGGGTGGCTTTTTAAAAGCCGAAAGCCGCACACTAAGAGTGGCCTCTCAAGAGAGATGGTAAGAGGGAGGGGCTCGGCTCTATTACCAACCAAAGTCATCAAGTTAAATCCAGGCCCAGGAGTCATGGGGGCCGCTCCTGTTTTCTCCAAAACAACAGACTGAGCAGCGGAAACCAGCCTTGAAACCACAGTGGCTTAAGCCCGACGTGAGTTTCCCGGGACTTGATCCACGATTTGGAGAGAGGACAGAACTGGGCCTTTCGTGTCAGGCGGCCCTGAGGACGGGGCCCCAGGGCCACAGCCCACCTCCCCAGTGGTGCTGGGCTCACATCCCCTTATGAATCAGCTGCCAAGGAACAGGCCAAACACCCACCCAGGGGGCCCGCTTACTTGCAATGTCGTGTCGAAGACGACGAGCTTCGAGCTGGTGGGGACGATGTCGTAGCACTTGTGTGACCTCATGAATCGCATGTAGACGCCACTCTCTGAATCTTCTGCTAAAAAGGAAAGGAAAGGGGGCAGCCATCAGTCTTAACGAAAAACTTTCTCGATCAGATGAAGAGCACAGATGAAAACCTACGGCCGAGCCCCTCGGGGCTAGACCTCAGACGTCCTCCACATCCGAGCACCTGGCCCGTGGCTCCTCCTGGCACCCCGAGCCTCGTACATGGGTGCTCACGGAGCAAGACCGGGGGAGACGAGGCGTCCGGACCCAGAAGGGGAACACAAAACCAACTTTATTTGCAGGCAGCATGGTTTTGTACGTAAGAATACCAAAGAATCCACAAAAAGTTCTCAGATCTCAAAAACAGAGTGCTTTGCAAAGTCACAGGAAACAGTTAAAAGAAGAAAGAGACCCTGCTACTATATTTGCGTATTTTTTCTCCCTGTGGAGCAAAACAGGCTCTTGACTTTTCACAAGGTGGTGCTGCAGAAACTCCTGTTTTCGCTTGTGTCCCCCGTTCACCCCTGGCTGCCGGGATCAGGCTCGAGGACACCCTTTCTTGCCTCTCAAGCGGGAATCTTGGCGGCTGTTACTGCTCCAGTCTGTCAAACAGTTGCGCATATTTGTGCATTTTTTTTTAAGACCGAGAAAGTTAAGAAAAATTGAAAGGTGCCATTTACATAAACGTGGGATGGAGGTCTGGACCCACAGCCAGGAGCCCCCAGAGCACGACTCAGCCAATGCTGGTGCCAAGGGCCCTGGGGTGAACAGCGCAGCCGGGGGGACCTGGGCCCCAGAGCTCCCCAGACAGGCGCAGCCCTGGGTGCACAGCGAGGAGGAAGGAGGAAGGAGGAAGTGGCCTTTCACCTGTTTGCTCGTCAGCCCTCACTTTCCATCCCGTTTTCAGCATCGCGGACAGCTCTGATGGTTTTCCCTTCCTGGGTGATCCTTTCTACGCCCACCTGGCAGCATGTCCCCATTTACGACATGAATTAATAATACGACGTGAATTAATACAATGATTCAGTCACCGAGTCACTGCCCAGTCAGGGTGGGCTCCTCCCACAGCTGACCCCAGACCAAGGGATGTGAGGGCAGGAAGGAAAATGTCACAAGGGTGGTTAACAGGCCGCTCACAGGTGGTGTGAGTTGGGTCCCAGCTGCTGGGGGCCCTAAGACTCATCGGGGACTTGGAACTGCCAGGTCCAGGACCCACCAGCCCTGGGGCGTCTCCTGGGCCATGAGTCCAGCTCGCAGATGCGCCCTGAGGCCGGAGGATGAAGTAGAACTTGGATGCAGCTTCTGCTGCGCCAGAGGCCGGGTCCCTGGAACACTGCGCCTTGGCAAACCCTGTGTGGAGAGTCACCGACTATCACGACGCTGCCTGGCCTGTGGCCACAGGACAAGCGCGGGGACAGCTGCGCCATCAATGGCCGGCCATGTGCCTCGGCGCCTCTCAAAACACCTCCCTGCCGGGAAATAGGGGTCTGGCACAGGCAAGCACTTCTAAGAGATGCCCAGAAAGCGCTGGTCCATGTCTCCTCCGCCGCTGCACGAGGCTAAGGGGGTGTTCATCGCAGAGTCAAACCCATGTGCGGGCTCCTATGGGGGGTGGGGGTCAGGACAGGCAGCATCCGACACCCGGCGGCCAGGCCACACGTAGCTAACACCTGTCCCTCCCCAAGTTGCCAGGAATGGAATCCACAGGAACTGGAAGGAAGTGCGGCGACCGCCCCCCAGAATGAGATCCAAGATACTGACAAAGGGCGGTGAGCTCACGCAATCCTGTGAAGTGAATACTCAAACTTTCAGAGTTTTTAACCTAAGCGTAGTGTTGAACACACCGGTATACACCTTAAGTCCTCTGTGGACTTTAAAGGCATTTTTCTCCTTTAAAAGGGGAATGTTATGGGATGCAATGTTGGGAAATGTTACAGAAACAAAAAGGGAAATGATACATATGTAAAATAAATTCTAATAAAATTTGTTGTGGTTTGCAACAAGAGTAGATCCCTGCTGGTGTAACAGAAACAGCATGGTAACAAAACCGGTAACATTTTAACTTAGGAAAAGAAAGAGAAACATTATAAAATGTTATTGTTTTCCCACATTTAATATACAACTTTTCTGGTTGTAGGTGGATCTGTTAGCTTGTGACTGAGGGGCAGGGAGGGGACCCCAAACTTCAGGGGGTGAACACCCTGAAAGGGACACTGCCATCTGCCGCACAGAGACAAAGGGTGAAGGCTTGGTGGGAGAGCTCTTCAACAGGACGGGTGTGCACGGAGTGGGAGGAAAAGCCAGGATATTCCTAATAACAGCTTCCTAACAACCATCTCCCAATGATCTGTCTCCTCTTGGGTAAAGGCCCAACCAAACAGGGTCGGCCCGAAGCAGGGCCGCTGAGGCCTGAAAGCTTGCCACGGGTCTAAGGCACCTTCTGGCAGGAAACAGCAAGAAGAGGTTTAGACAAGAGGGGCAAGTCAACGTATAAATCAAGACAATGGCTGCCACTGTCTCTGCTGAGGACAGCCTTCTCGCATGTCTCTTGCCCACGGGTCTCTCCCAAGTGTCCCTGTGTCTCACCTCCACACATCTCCTTCCAAGCCCCCCAAGACTCTGGGTACAAGTCAAGGCTGGAGAAACAAGCACCCAAGAGCCTCCCTGCCTTCCTCATAACGAGCTTCAGTGGACCATTCGGCTCTGCCCCAGTCCCCGGAAGCACCACCAGGCAGGAAGCCGGTTCATGGCACACTGGGACTTGTAATCCAAGGAGGCTTCTTGTAAGCGGGGGTGGGGAAATGGCACCTGCTGTGGCCTGTGCTGTGCTGCTCCTCCCCCTTTTATGGAGATGCTCTGCTTGTGTATTATATTATGAAGTCTCAAAACGTGTCTTCTGCTTCTCTCATTGGAATAGACAGAATATAAGAGTAATTTGGAGTTAAAACACCCTCCCCCACTGAAAAAAAAAACAAAAAACAAACCCAAGACAAAACCACTGAACAATGACAGGCTGTCTGGAACGCATGATTAAAATTCCTGAGAAGGCAAGAAGTTCAAACTCTCATTATTCAAAAGGTAACTGGGGCTAAGATGTTATCACAATGTTCCATTCTTGCTTTTGTTATTTCATGTGTCGCTGAATAGAAGCATAACTGCAGAGCATTACGCTGGCACTTGAGTTACTGGTCTATGAGCGGAACCTGTTTGTGAAATGATGGTAAATCTCGCCACCCTTCAAATGCGACAAGAACCCAACGTTACCATTCAAGGCAGTGGCTAAGAGCGCTGCTGGGAAGCAGAAAGTGCAAGTCAGTGTTTCATGCATGAAGGTCAACCGAACGGCTGGAAGAATGCAGCATCTAAGTGTAAACGCAAACAGGGACATCCAGCAGACAGGAGAGCGTGGAAGTAGGTGCTTCTCTTCCTAGGAGCAAGTCTGATTCCATGACCCCCATTCTTTCAGAATGCACCGTCCCCTCTGGCTCTGGTCTACTGAACACCGCCCCCCCCCCCGCCTTTCTCCAGTGGTCTGACTAGCGACTCCCAACCCTCAATATGTCCACCTGGAATGCCAGAATAAGCCATTATTTGGAATAAGGGTCTCTGCAGTGTAAAGTGGGGTCTTGAGGTCACCCTGGGTTTGGGTGGGCCACACCCAGCGACAGTGTGGTCCTTACAAAGGAAGAGAGAGGAGCAGAAGACACAGAGATGGCAGCTGAGTGAAGACGGGAGACACCAGAGTTGCAGCCTTGATCAAGCCCCTACAAAGGCTGCAAGAGACTCCCCCTCGGAGCCTCCAGGGGGACTCCCACCAACAGCTGGACTCAGGGTCTGGCCTCCAGGCTGAGAGGATGAACCCAGATCTGTGGTTCAAAGGCCAGTCTGGCACCCCATCGTGCTCTGTGGGGACCTTCCCTCGCAGGAATGGGACAAACCGTGGGCTAAGAGACAGGGCCCAAATCAGAAGCCACGGTTACCCCATAGACACGGCTGTGGAGCACATGTTAGGGGGTGCTGGTGAGTCTAGACAGACCTGGCCGGGAGAGAAACCATTTACATGCTTTGACAGGACTGGAGAGCTGGAAGGGGGTGTTTCTGGAGAAGAAATGCATCTCCGGGTGTACACCACGCTTTTTTTGGGGGTGGGGAGGGAGGGAGCCAAACAGCTCTGATCTAAAGCTTTAGGAGTGTTTGCAAGGATATTTTATCTTGAAGCAATTTTCTAATTGTACTGGATTAAAAAACGCAGTCATAAACTGCAGAAGACCTTAAAATATTCACCTGACTGCAGACATATGCTTAGAAAAATGGGCAAACAACTGGAATAATTCATACTTCAGAGATAATCATTCTGGTCAAAATTTTTTTTTCCAAAACTGACAGAGACCTTTAATTTGGAGAGCATCTGTAAAACATGGGTGGGAAGACAGCGCGATTGTTGGGCTGTCTTGCCTGCTCTGTCTGGAAATGAAGGGGACAGATGACGACAGAGAATCTGTTCAGGCAAAAAGACAGAAAACTCGAGGGGCGATGCACACAGAACAGGAGGTGAGGGGAACAGAGGGGGCCCGAACCCAGGCGGCTCCCGAGAACATTCCAGAAAGTGCACTGACGGGGAGGTGAAGGAGACAACCGGCTACTTGCTCTCACGGCGTGGCTGCACCCTTGACACCGCACACCATCCACTCTGCTTGCGCCCAAGATCTGTAACCCTCTGCCCTGAGACTCCCAGGTTAGACAGTACAAGTCTGTGTGGGTGGAAGGCAGCAGCCTGCGGGGGGGCTGGCCTCCCCCCAGGGGCTGGCCTCCCTCCTGGAGGCTGTCCCGACTGAACCGGCCCCATGTGCTGCAGCAAAGCAGTGGCAGCTAGCCACGGGCTCATTACCAGGGGCCTCTGCGGGGCGGGCAGAGTGGAGGTCGGGGGCTTCAAGGAACAGCAGCTTCTGAAGCTGCTCTCCGGCTCCACCTCAGGGCTCCACTGGCCAGTGGGGAAGAACGGGAGGGGACACACGCTCGGGGGCTGCAGCAGTGTCCTCCTGCGCCTCTCTC